AATTGTTCGTTTCATGCAAGTGTGGAGATAACTACACGTTTTGTCACTTAATGACACAATTTAAATAATGCATCCTTTTAAATTATACATAGATTATATAATCTATCAACAATAGTTCTGATTAGACCTTAAGACAACTAGTTTGTTTGTGAGATACCCCAGCTACACCCAACTCTTTGTCAACTTGCAATCCTAACCACATTTTGACGTTGTGCACCTATTATCAAAATAGCTCATTGACGTTTGCGTACCACATTCCTAAACCGTCTTTTTATAGAATAATAGAATAAGACGAATCTATGATACATTATGCCAAACAAACTCTAGAGTCTAGAACAAACGAGCACAAACGGAAAGAAATAGTCTTATACTACATTTTACATGTTCTAGGAAAAAAAAAACAAATCATCTAACTCACAACTATTGAAAGGATAAAACCCATAAATATCATATATAAATTCTTTAGATAACTGTCTCTTTTACGTGTATGTGATTTTTTTGTTGTTGACCAATTGTCCTTTAACCTATCAGTTTTACTAAGCAATAACCAAGTCTAAATGTTCTCCACGCCGATACATTAATCCAAACACGTACATGTTAATTAGATCCAACTAGCGCAAACAAAGAAACGAAAACTAACTCCAGTGCCACTGATCCTTAGTCGCCGACAAAGCGAGAGAAGTATACAAACTGATTGAGACCATCTCCAACACATCTCTATTTTCATCTCTAAAATAGAGTTTAGAGTCAAATTTACTCCAATCATCTCTATTTTAATCTCTATAATAGAAATTGCTATTTTTTTTTCTATATTTAGAGATGGAAATATAGATTTTTTTTGTCATATCCTAAAAGAKAAAAAAAAATAGCATTTCTCTAAAATAGAGTCATACATTGGAAAAAAATGGAGAAATACTATTTTTACTCTATTTTAGAAATAATTATAGGGAAATACATTGGAGATGTCCTAAGAGGTAATGTTCTTCAACAAGAGATCAATAATTAAAAAATAATTAAAAAATTTGCTAAACTTTTTTTATTCATAAAACTTGCAGATAGTATTTTCGTAATTAGTGATTTATTTCTCGCTTGTATTTTGGAAAACACTGCAGTTTTTTTTTGTATTTTTTAAAGAATCATGATATTATTTTGAGTGCATGTTATTTGGAGTCCAAACACGTACATGTCAGATCCGGCTGGCTCAAACAAAAGAAAGAAAACTGATTCCAGTGCCACATATCTCTAGCCTCCAACAAAGCAAGAGAAATATGCTGACTAATTAAGATGTGATGTTCTTCAACAAGAAAATAATAATAAAGAATAATTAAAAACTGCAGAGTTTGGATACAAAAGTAAACAAAACGTTGTCTTGAACATTTTATTTTGCATTCACATATATGAATGAATGAGACTTCTTATAAAAAATTATCAAAAAGTACTTTATTTAGCCTTCGCATACCGTAAGATGATATCGAATTTATTCGTATTTGTGTCTGTCCCTACGCCTCACCAAATGTATCGGGTACATGAAAATGCCGTGAGTAGGAACGAGTTCGATCTGATGACTCGATGGAATTGTATCGTTCTGCATAGGTACAACTCCTCAGACTACGACAATTGGTGGTTCTCTGAATTCCCTATGAAGTATATAAATTGATTAAGATGTGATGTTCTTCAACAACAGATTAGTAATAAAAAATAATACTCTT